GGCAAATACTTTTTCCCAGTCTGTAGGCTGTCTCCCTGCTCTCTTGATGGTTTCTTTGACTTTGCAGAAGCTTGTCAGTTTAATAAGGTCCCATTTGTACAAAACCCGAAAACCACAGGACATAAGTTTAAGTATTCTTAAACGTACTTGGCTAATGTTCTATCTAAGGGCGAAGACTATTTCCACCCAAAACAACATTATCCCAACACAATGATGTTACCCTGTAAAAAACAGTCCCCACAATCCATTAATATAAAATCTTAAAACTATAAAGCTTCTCATTAAACAACTCTACTTAAAGCAAAACTTATATCCCAAATTAACTAATATATTATAATCTTTCTAACAAATTTAACTCTTTATAAACTTAACTTCCTATATTTCAGCTATCTAGGAAAACAAGTTTTTCTATAATAAAGTCTCTGGGGGCCAGAACAGCAGTTTCTGGTCCAAGGTTTTGGAGCAGTTCATATGTAGAATACTTCCATCTGGCAGAAGACTGTGCACCTGGAGATCCTCCAGAAGTGCCTGCACAGATGTTCCTTTTTTCATGGACAAGGAGTTTCTTCTTAAAAACTCTCTGGTCTTTCAAGCCCCTTGGTAGTTTCCTCTTGTTCGAATTCCTCTATTGTTTTCCTATCTGGAACATCCTATCTCTAAGGAAAAAACAGCTAAGAAGAAACCTCTAGTGATGTTATTCAGGCCTCAAGGTAGTTTCGGTTGTTAGATAAAACCTGTTTTATTCACTTAAATTCTACATCTAAACCCTTTAACTTTCTATATATTAAAACTTTAATATGTATCTCAAGCCCCTATAAACAAACTTATAAATCACCTACATATACTTTAATATAGACTTTCACTTACACTTAAATCTTATGCCTATAGAACCTTATGTCCAAACACCATAAATACAACTACAAATAATAAGTAAAAATATTCAAAACAATTCTTTGCCTAAACAAAATCAGAAACCTCTTTTTATCAGGTATTTGTCACAAATCCTAACCCTAAAAATAAGATCTGTAGCCCACAACCAAGTGAAAGAAAGCCCTTTAAACATGACTCAGAGTCATCACATGGGCAAAAGGGACAGGTCAAACAACGTAGTGGGAAGTGGAAAGATGGACAATGAGTTTCCAGTAGCTGAAAATACTTCGCATAAACGTGCTGTTTCCTTTTTTCATGACTGCATGGAATTCTTTGGCCATAACAGCAAAGGCAAAAAGCAGCAGGGCCTCAGCTTCCCGGATTTGCCCTGTGGCCTGGGGTCATCAGGACCCTGTTAATCAGGTGGGCCTTCAAGGCTGGCTCCCAACAAGAAAGGTTTCCCTGCCAGCCTCACACATCCAAACGTGGATCCTTCCATGACAGGGAATCTGATGTTTTTCAAGTGCTGAGCACAAACTTAGAAGGAAGAGGAAGAGACATGAGAGACACCAGGAGGTACATTTTCCCAGTGAGAACATTTCTAGGTTGCTATTCAAGAACAGCTGCCAGCAGGCCCATCCACCCACCTGGTCTCCAAATTGAGCTCCTATTGGAGGTCAGAAAGCAGTCTGGCCAGTCTGATCATGGGGAAAACTCTGCAACAGAAAGTCACTTTGAGTGCACATCACTGCCCAAGAAGAATCATAGAGCATCTCTCCCACTGAGTGAACTATTTTGAATGACAGAAAAGGCCTTAAGACAGCAAGATCTTATGGAGTTACAAAACAATAAAACTAAAGAATAACAATAAAAAGAGAAAAGCTGCTCCTCACAGATGAGGAAGAACCAGCTGAAAAACACTGGCAAGCCTTAAAGAGACATCACCTAAAAAAAGCAGCTATCAATCCCCAAACAATGGAAACCACTGAGAACAACCTATCCCTGATGACAGTCACAGGATTCAAATATTGGATGGCTAAAATAGCTAAGAAATACCTTGAGAAGTTAGAAGTAAAGATCACTCAAGCTGTGCAGGAAGTAAATGTTGAGTTGGCCAACATCAGAAAGGTTCATTCTGAAATTCTAGAAATGAAAATTCCCTCCTGAATTTCAAAGTACAATAACAGGCCTAGGGAGCAGAATCTACCAGGCAGAGGAAAGAATCTCAGAGTTTAAAGACCAAAATTTTTAACTCAGTCTGACAAAAACAAAGAGAAAAAGAGAATGATCAAAGTGTGGGACTAGGTAAAGAAGCCAAATCTATAGTTGATTGGAGTCCCTGAAACAGAAGAGGAAATTGAAAATACCTTGGAATAAGCCTTCCATGAGGTCATCCAAGAAAATTTTCCATATCTTGCTAGAGAGGTGACCATCCAAGCACAAGAGATTCAGAGAACTCCTGCACATATTACATGAGAAGATCATCTCCAAGACACAAAATAATCCACCTCCACAGAGTAAGCATGAAAGAAAAAATCCTAAAGGCAGCTAGAGAAAAAGGACAGACCACCTACCAAGAAGATCCATCAGAATTGTAGTCGATTTCTCAGCAGAAACCCTACAAGCCAGAAGGGGTTGGAGTTCCAGCTATAATGTTCACAAAGGTAAGCAATTCCAGCCAATAATTTCCTCTCCAACAAGGCTTCATCAGTGATGGATAACTAAAATCTTTCACAGACATCCAGCCCCTAAGAGAATATGCTGCATCCAGACCAGCCCATCAAAAGATGCTTAAAGTTTTGTTACACTCACCACAAAAGCACAGGCAAGCACAGAGGTAGCAGAGCATACAGACCATCCACAAAA